CTCAGAGGTCGAGACCATGCTGCTGGACCACTTCAGCCAGCAGCAGGCCGCCGCGCAGGAGGCCCGGGCGCGAGCGGCGGCGTCGGCGGCCGCGCGGCAGCCGCGCGGTGCATGAGCGGGCCTTAGAGCGTGCTGCCTCCCAGTCGGCGCCATCCCAGGTCGACACGGGCGACCTCGGCGCAACTAATAGGTGGTGGGCTAGCCTAATACTCTAGTCTCTGTTCACCTCGGCAGCCCACCACCTAGACAGCCCTAGCCAGCCACACGAGCCGAATATTTACAGATGGAGAGCCGTGCTGCTCCAATTTAACATCGGCTGAGCCGACCTGCAATCCCGGCGCAGCGGGCCCATCAGTTCTTTCATTCAGCCCCATTCCAAGGGCCCGCTGCAAGAGCCGTAGTCAGCACCAGTCTCCAGCTTCACACCTCTCTGCCGCACTAGTGCAGCCAACGCGACACTTTTAAGTAGCCCCGCTACCAGAAGAGCGGACGGCTAATGCTCACAGCTCAATTCGCAGACTCGCCACGGCTGAGTATTCATAGGTGGTGGGCTAGCCTAATACCCTAGTCTCTGCTTACCTCGGCAGCCCACCACCTAGATAGCCCTAGCCAGCCACACGAGCCGTATATCACCAGCTGAGGAGCTACGCTGCTCCAATTTAAGGTCGGCCCAGCCGTCCTGCAGTCTCGTCGCAGCGGGCTCTTCAGTTCTTTTCTTTAGCCCCATCCCGAGGTCCAGCTGCAAGAGCTGTAGCCAGCACCAGTCTTTAGCTTCACACATTTTTGCCGCAACATTGCGGCCAGGCCAAAGCGACACGTTTAAGCAGCCACGCTACCAAAAGAGCGGTCGGCTCAATGCTCACAGCGCAATTCGCAGACTCGCCATGGCTGAGTCGATACTGCGGCAAGCAAAGATGCCGCCTCAGCACCTCCTACCTGCCGAGTAATTCTCGGCTAATGCTGACCAGCAGAGGTGCGTACCTCTACGGACAGCTACCGCGCCCTAGTGTTGCTTGGCTGGGCAAGATAATCCTTCTCCCTCCCATATGTTCATCCCTCCCCTCTTACCACGTTTACACCAAGACGCCAAGCACAGCACAGGCGCTCTCTCACCTGCCCCCTTTCCGGTCACGTGCGTTACCGATGGGGCTTCCTAGTCTCTTGGCGGCAACGCCAGCCTCTCCCTCCTGGTCCGCTCCGTCACGGCCGCCCTACAGCGCGGCAATGCCATGTTGGCCCTCTTCCTACTCATCCCGCTCATTTCCATGGCTAAGCCATGCTCCCAGATGGCCGTTCCTGAGGCCAGCTTTGCTGCTCTTCGGTCGTTCAGCGCTGCCCGCATAGGGCAACGCCTAGATGGCGCGCTCAGTGATTCTCGCACGGCACCGTTCCCTTCTCTTCATATTATTCCCCCTCCCTCCCCTTCGGTGCCAATACCTCCCCCGCCCATCATGCAGGTCCAATGGCGAAGAATCGCTTTTGCCTGCGGACGGACCAGGAGCGGAGATCCTTTGTTGCGCCCGCTAGGCGGGCTCTGTCTGCCGCCTGGCCGACCTCGGCCGCCCAGCTCAAGCTACTTGCAACGAGCCAAGTGCAGTCAAAAGCCTCCCTCCTCCCTCCTCCCTCCTCCCTCCTCCCTCCTCCTCCTCCTCCTCCCCCTCCCTCCTCCTCCCTCCTCCCTCCTCCCTCCTCCTCCCTCCCTCCTCCCTCCTCCCTCCTCCTCCCTCCCTCCCTCCTCCCTCCTCCCTCCTCCCCTCCCTCCTCCCTCCCTCCCTCCTCCTCCCTCCCTCCTCCTCCTCCTCCTCCTCCTCCTCCTCCTCTTCCTCTCTTCCTCCTCTCCTCCCTCCTCCTCCTCCTCCTCCTCCTCCTCCTCCTCCTCCTCCTCCTCCTCCTCCTCCTCCTCCTCCTCCTCCCCTTGTAGTCCTCGTCCTCCTCAGCCTCCACCTCAGCCTCCAGCACGCAGAGATGATGAGAGAGGAAGAGGAACTGGAATCAACGAGGATTAACTCGCGCTGGAATTCCTACGAGCGCTGGTTGAAAAGAAACCCTGAAAACCTGCACAAGGCTCCGCATCCCGCCACCGAGGCGCCGAATAAATGCTGAAGAGAACCCTAGGGCTGTCCCACGAGAGCCCCAAGAGCTGTCACTTAGAGGCCACTTGAGGCCAGACTTGGGTCTTCCAGGGGCTCGGGTGAGCATCGGGCGGACAAGAGAACCTCACCCGAGTGACATACCTGCGATGGGATGCTACCCTTTTCGCGGACATGTTAAACGGCCCGTTGCTGCTGCGAGTAGATCTACAAAATGCGTGTTGCTGAAGCCCTGCCATCACTTTTGAACGCAGCAGGCACATACCCCACAAACCAGATACCCGAAGTGTAAGAGGATGACCAGCTGGTGCCTCAATAGGGGCGCCAGCTGAACCCTCAGCTCCGCCCACTTCCGATCGCCCAAATCCACCTGGACTATGCAGGCTCTCTAGCTGGAAGTTCGGTCATACGGCTTCCAGCGTCCGCCGCCGTGGCATCGTCGTCACCCACGTCCCCGCCCGCCAGGTGCCCCGACCCGGTACCCGTCCCGCTAGCACCAGAACCCTCAGGCCAATGTTTGGTTGTTCCCAAGTACGTCCCAGGAGCAGGTTGCTGACGTAGCACCCCATGGCAACATGATCTGCACCCGCTTGTAAGTGCGCATACAAGTTTCTGCGTGACAAGGCGGGTGCGCGTGCACAGCACCTCCTGCTTCTGTGGCAATGCGGGGGTCCTAAAGACTGGCGCTGGCTAGCTGTGGCGTAAGCGTTTAATGCACGAGTCTGCTCAAACTTAGCCCTACTCCCCCAGAGCTAACTCACAAAATGCCACGCCTACGCCGACTGACTGGCGTACTGGTTTGCGACTCATGAAACACGCTTGGCCTTTCGCAAAGTCATCTTGCCTGCAGCGCCATGTAAACTGTGCGAAACTAATCTGTGAAGGTCGGCTGCTGTTCGTGCGGCTTCGGCAGGAGACCATGAGGACTGAAAACCAGTTGGCCTGATGCTGCGACATGGGCAGAGCTCACGAATCCGTCTGTTCAGAAGTATGCAGCGACATAATCGGGTGCATCCCCCTTTGTAGAAGGGCCTGGAGTGAGATTCCAAAGACTCCCAGGCGCGCGGAAGGATCCTGAGTGGCGCCACGGCTCCATATGAGTTCACCTGTGGCTGTCAAAGCACCGGTGGCCCCTAGATGCTGCACACCCTCGCGCACGTCGCTGGGCACGTCCCTCGCCTGGCAGGGCAACCATACGTCCTGCGAGTGTCCTCCTCCAACTCCTCTCCGAGCGGCAGACACTCGAGTCGGCGGCTCCTTCGCCATGCGGCCGCCTCTGACACCACATGCCTCCACAGAATAGGGCGCGGGCGCGAGTCTTGTGATCTGCTGTCTATCGCATTGGACGAAAGCCTGGCGACCGGTGCCCTCACGGGCTCAACGAGGCCTCGCGCTCGTTGACCATCTGAGCGTGCAGCCACCAGGCGTCCACTGGGCGGAGGCCCGCTGTCGCGAACCCGACGGTGAGAGAAACGGGCCTGCGACTGCCAGCCAGGAGGAGGAGGACCAGGAGGAGGACGCGGAGAATGACAGGGGTGGGTGAGGAGGAGGAGAAAGAAGACGACGACGACGACGACGACGACGACGACGACGACGACGACGACGACAACCCCACCCTCCTACAGCAAACACCAAACACCATCCGCCCCCCACCCAGGTGCTCCACGCTCAGCGGGAACGCCCCGTGCACATCCACGACGAGGCAGCGCCGCAGGGCCGCAGCGCTGGAACCTGCGGTCGACCCCGGGGGGGGCGGCGGAGCGGAGGAGCAGACTGGTGCAACTACAGTCAACGCGCCTAGTATGGACGCGCGCCTTCATCCAGGGTACCCTTGTGTCCTTGCCTCTGAGGCTCGTCCTTGCCATCATCACTGGTCGCCCGCCGCCCTAAAAAACCCAACTTCGGCCTCCAAGGGTCTTGCGCCCTTATCACCCGTCCTCGATATACGTTTTGACTGCACGCCCGAGTCGGCTCCACGCACAAGAGTGACCCTCAGATGCGCACTCTGGGGACCCGTCTGGAGCCAGCCGCGCCGCACGTGCGTCGAAGCTGCGTCGAACGCCCGTCGGCTCGAGTCGAACCTGAGTCGAACCTGCGTCGACCCTGAGTCGAGCCTCGGAGGCCTGGAAATTGGCACCAACACCAAGACAGGGGGTTGCCTCCACAGGGGGAAGATGATCCTGGATGTCGGTGTTGGTGGTAATATCTGGGCCACCTTGGAAGCCAGAATATTACCACCATCGCCGAGATCGGGATCTTCATCCCTCGGTGGAGGCACACCGCCGATCTTGGTGTTGGTGTCAACCTCTGGGCCTTCGAAACCTGCGTCGAGCCTGCGTCAAACCTGCGTCGACCCTGCGTCGAAGCTGAGCCGAACCCGAGCCTAGCCTGCGCCGGACAGATCCGCCAGGTGGGCCCCAGGAAGGTCCCCCGAACGAGCATCGGATGACTCGGGTCGGACGAAAGGGGGGGACAGCAAAGGGGGGGTTTGAGAATCAGCTCACGTAGCTGATTTTCCCGGCGCCTCCCGGCGCCGGAGGCGGCTACGTATCGAGGAATGGGCGCCTCGGTGAAGCCGAAACCAGCTGCATGCAGCAAATGTCGTAACCCCCCCTTTCCCAATCCCCCCCTTTCGCCCGACCCGAATGACCCTGGGCAGGCACGACCTGTGCAGCGCGGCCTGCCGATCGCCGCGTGAGGTGCCGCGGCGGCGGCCCGCGGGTGCAGGCTTGGCCCTCCCGCGACCCTCCCGAGAGGCGCGAAACCTCGGGGTCCCTGCGGCGACGGGTCACTCTTGCGTGAAACCGATTCTGCTCCTCCTCCTCCTCCTCCTCCTCCTCCTCCTCCTCCTCCTCCTCCTCCTCCTCCTCCTCCTCCTCCTCCTCCTCCTCCTCACCTCCCCTTCCGGCTGAACGGTACAGTGCGGGCGCGGTCGCAAGAAACCGTCGCAGGAAACCCAGCCCCGAAGACCCGCGCGCGGGGCACACCTGAGGGGAAGCCCGGAGGACCCGGGACGCAGCAGCCTCTTCGACGGCCGCGGGATGCCACCGCGCAGCGCGCGGAGCGAAGAAGCCCAGGGTGCCCTGACGAAGAGCAGCTGGGTTCTGGATGCGCGCCCCCACGGTGCTGCGAGGCCCAGTCCGAAGAGCGCGCGCGCGGGGACGGCCGCGCAGAGATGCGGCAGAGGCCGCGGGGCAAGCTGCCGGGGCCGAGGCGGAGCAGGCGGAGCGTCCGGGTGCGTCTTTGCCATGGTTCCAGCAGCGTCCCCGAGAGTCGGCCCGGGAGTTCAAAAAGTCTAAGCACGCGTGCGCATGCCCCACTGGAAACAGGACGACAGTGCTCCCCCCTCTGTTCGAGCCCGGATTCAAATATGCCAGGCAGTGTGGGCGACAAAACGCCTCGCGGATGAACGCACGCGTGGCCAGGCCGAGTCTCTGAGCGAAAAGGTGTCTAGTGGCCAGACTCACTGATATCTAGTACCTAGCGGCTGACAGTAGGCGAAAAATATCGAATGGCGATGCGCGCACTGTCTCGCCTAATTCAGGCGCTTTGGCAAGATTCGAACGCAAAGCGTATCAATTTGCCGAAGAGAAGAAGATGTCCTTGTGACGGTTCTCTTCGGGAAAAAACGTGTAGGCGTCTTGCATTACTCACAACAGCATTGTGAACCTTAGCCGCCTGGAGCGCTTGAAGCGGCACTATCGCCTTGTCCACAACGCCCTGGCTCCCTTCGTAATCCCAACCGTTACCTGGGAGGAGGGGAGCCGAGCGTTCAGCCTGCATGCATCTGGCACGGCCAGCATGCCTGAAGTCTTAAAAGCGCGTGCGTCACTAGCAACTAGCACCATGATAAGCGCGCCACTGCACCTGGCCTGCCAGCTCAGCGTCGGATGGAGGATGGCGGATGGCTGACATGCAAAGATCCTCACCGAAACGAAACTAAAGATGCTTTTTCGGTGGTTACTCACGGGAGCCTCCCATACCATCTTGTCGGCTCTTGCGAATCGACGCTAGTCGACGCTAGTCGACGCCAGTCGACGCTGAACCGACGCTTATCGGCGCTACGAACTCCCCGGCGCTGATCGACGCCAGTCGACGCCGAAGACGGAGCTACGAGGGTACACAAGGCTCCCACGACTTGCTGCCGAATGCCGACAGACGATGCTTTGACATCCCCACCCCTCCGACCCGTCGGTGTGCGGAACGCACCCACCCATTACCAGCCTCGAACGTATCCCTATCCCTAAGATTGACACGCCAAAAGGCGATGACAATCTTAGGGACTCGCCCTCGAAAAATAAGGGAATCCCTGAGATTGGCATCGTGATGAGGAGGTGCCCAGCATAGGGATAGGGATATTTTCCAGGCTGGTAAGCCCAGCCGTCCCTCTCCCTGCCGCGGTCCGCAGGCCTCGCCTCCGGAGAGGAAGCTGCGGCCTGCTCGCCGCAGGCGCCAAGGAGGGCGCTGCGGGAGCGCCAGCTCGTCAGGCCTGCCACGCCAGCACGCTCTCCTGCAGAGGGAGGAAGAACTGCATGGACAGAAGCTCTGGGCGCTCCGCGCGGATCTCTTAGACCTGCGCTCTTGATTGATCCACTCACGGATCCACTGCAATTGAGCTCCATTGGATTCATTCCATGCGTAGCATGCTCTCCCCCTCCCCTGGCGCGCAGAGCGCGCCAGGGGCGGCGCCAGAGGCGCCGCCAGGGGGGTCCAGCACGGATCCGAGAGATCCGCGCGGAGCGCCAACAGTTTCTGCCTATGTTGGCGGCGCGCACAAGGGGGTGGAGGGAGGGGGGAGGGCTTCTGAGAAGGAGGCTGCTTCTTAGAAGGCGCTGGCCTTGCATCTACAGATAAGGCCCGCGCCTCCTAAGAAGCAGGGGTGCTTCTAAGAAGCCTTCCCCTCTCCCCCCACCCCCCTCTGCGCGTGGCTGACTACGGCGCCTTCTCTTCCCTGATCCTGGGAGTTGAAGAAGTTGATCGCCCTCACCTTGGGGAAGAAGGGTAGGCCGGCCACGTCGACCCAGCAGTGCGTCACGGGGCGGGGCCGGGCCGCGGCCTGCGGCGGGGCCAGGCTGATGCCGTCCAGGCTCACGATCATGTTGAGCCCGCGGCCCTTGAAGAAGTTGATGACCGCCTCGACGCCGGACCCGACAGCTTTGGTCACCTCGTACATGAACCCCTTGTGGCCCGCGGGAGCGGTTTCGGTCCAGTCGAAAAGATCCGAGGCAGCCGGATCCTCGAGCACCTCCGCGGGCTCCTTGGGCGCCTTCCGCAGCTTCACCCACTTCAGCTCAAGGGGGGTGTCCACGTCCAGGTCCGCCGCAACGCGACGCACCCGGTACCTGAGGCTCCAGTCGTAGTTCTTCACGAAGAGGTAAAGGTCCTTGGGCTCTTGGAGGGCCCCTAGGCTGGAACCGATCTGGCTGGACATCACCGCGATGCCACTCTGCGCATCCTTCAACACCCCCATGATCGTGGCGTTGACGCCGTCGATCCTTGCGTGCAGGTCCTCAAGGCCATCCATCAGGCTCGCCAGAACGCTGCTGCTGACCTCGTCATTATCCTTCCTCTCTAGGCGGCTGGGCGGCCCCCAGAGGGCAGTGCAGACCGATGCCCATACGTTCGCCAGGACGCTGCTGCTGCTGCTGCTGCTGCTGACCTCGTCACTCTCTGAACGGTCGGGCGGCCCCCAGAGGGCCGTGCAGACCGATGCCCAGACGTTCGCCAGGACGCTGCTGCTGCTGACCTCGTCGCCTTCCTCCCTCTCTGGGGGGCCCGGCGGCCCCCAGAGGGCCGTGCAGATCGAGGTCCAGGCCGCGCGGCCGTAGTCCAGCAGGGAGGACCGCTGCCGCTGCAGGTCCGCACCGTCCGCCGCCGCGAGGACCCACCTCGGCTGCCCTGCTGGACGCACCTCGGGAGCGGCCAAGAGGGGGGTATCCAAGAGGGGGGGGTGCAAATCATGACCGGCGGCATGTGCGCGGCCCAGCGGGGGGGCCAGTTACGTAATGAAATAAGACGAGGCGGCATGACATCTGGAGACATATCATGGCCCCCGCCATGATATCCACCCCCCCTAAAGTCATCATCCCCCTCTGTTCCGCCCCCGAGCACCGGCGCCAGCGCTGCGCCCCCGGCGAGGCCCGGGGCGCGCGGCCCGGACGGCCCTGCCGTGGCGCGGGGCACGGCGAAGTGCTGCGGCGGGTGCCACAGCCGCCGCCCCGCCAGCAGCAGCAGGCTTGCGCCCAGCACCCTGCGGGCTGGGCGACGGGAGCTGCAGGTGCCCACCGTCCACGGCCGGTCCGCTCCATGGGCCCAGGAGCAGTGTGCACGCCCCCTCTGAAATTGCCAGCGAGGCATGCACACCGCTCCTTGGCCCAGGCCTGGCTGCAGACCTCCTCACCACCTACGGCCCCGAAGCCTAGGAAAAACTGGCAGCAGCCTCACAGACGAGGGGCGTGCCGCTCCCAAAGTTCGGCTCTCGCCTCAGCGCCACGCACATTCGTGAGCCTGGTGCGGTGGACATCTGGAGCGCGTTTCTCATTTTCGGCGATAATGGGCATTATCAGGCGGGGGGGAGGGGCCAGGGGGGGGTATAATGTGACGCCTCCCCCCCGCCGTGCGCACGGCGGCGGTGCCCCGAGCGCACTGGGGGGGGAGGGGCGTTACGTTATTAGGGGGGGGGCAAGGAGGGGGGGCGGGGGCTATAATGCCCAGTATGCCCCAAGCAAAAAAGAAACACGCTCCTGCAGATCCCGTCACCCGACCTGCATGCGCCCCGGGCGGGGCGTCGTCGCGCAGACTGCGCGACCGACCAGCGCCCCTGGGACACCATGCGGCTGCAGGCGTGGCGGCGCGGCGGCCGAGCTTCTGGGCTCTGGGAGCGAGCTCGTCTCGAAGGCGAGGCGGCCGCTCCAGGGTCGGAACTTGAGCCAAGACGGTTGAAGGGGCCCCAAAACACACAAATAAATACACAAATAAAAATATTCCCCATATTTTCCGATATTTTCTGGGTTTCTGTTTTCCCCCACTTCCCATATGTTCCCATATTATCTGGAGAATCGACGATTAATTGTGTCTGTGTGTTTTTGTTCCCTCCTGAACGGTAACGGCGAGAGGAGGAGCAGGAATCGGGCGGAGACTGGGAGGCGACACTATTGTTCCGTCGGCGGCGAGGCGGCGAAGTCCGCACCAGCGTAACAGCTAGGTAGGGGCACAAACTAGCGAATGGGCCGGCGGGCAGGGAGGGAGGGGGGAGGCGGAGAGGAAGGAGGGACGCTCAGACGCCGAAGACTTCGACGATGAGCAGCCGGCGAGCGGCCGCAGCCAGGCGCGCAGGGCCAGAGCGCGGTGGGCGGCTCTGGGAAGCGACACAAATCCATAACAGAAATGTAATTCCGATGTCTGGGCCCAAGCGCGGTCCGCGGGAATCTGGTCGGGGCTTCCATGCCGCGGGCTTGAAGCTTATCTTCCTACTATTCCTCCTCATCGTCCTCCTCGCCCCCTCTCTCTCCCTTCTCGTCTTCTCCACGCTTTGGCGGGGGCCCCTGCTTGCCGTAACCTCGGCCCTCGGGGGAAGAAGGCGCCCACACGTTCGTGTGGATCCACTGGGGGCACGGCCGACGGCGACTGGTTCGTGCCCCGTAGAAACTGCCCCTCAGGGAATGAATCCCCCAGGCAATCAAGCCACGCTCGGTTACCCGAACGGTATATCCACGGGCCACACGTTTTCGAACGACGTATCCACGCACCACGATCTGCATCAGAAATAGCAGAAACCATAGCCCCATCATAATCAGAATCGTCGTTGTCATCGTAATCATACGAAGCACCATCATCGTCGTCATCATCAGCAGCAGCATCACCACCACCACCACCACCACAATCATCATCATCATCATCATCATCATCATCATCATCATCATCATCATCGTCATCATCATCATCATCATCATCATCATCATCATCATCATCATCATCATCATCATCGTCATCATATCATCAGCATCCTCACCATCATCGTCATCATCATGAGCATCATCACCGCCATTCATCAGAATCATCAGCATCAACATCAGCATCAGCATCAGCAACAGCATCAGCACCAGCATCATCATCATCATCATCATCATCATCATCACTACGAACAACAGAATGAACAACATCATCGGACACGTCATCGTCATGAACACCACCGTCATCAACATCACCACATTCTCCATCATCAGCATCACCATCAGCATCATGAGACCAGATGATGTGTGGAAAGAAGACAAATAATAAGAATGATGATACTAATGATAAGAAGAAGAAGAAGGAGAAGGAGAAGAAGAAGGAGAAGAAGGAGAAGAAGGAGAAGAAGAAGAAGAAGCGGGCCGCGAAATGAAATGGACAGATCATGGCCCCGGCCATGATACTCCCCCCTCGTTCCCCGCAGCGCGCGCGCGAGACCCCTTTCTGCCCGCGCGCGCGCGCTCCACGGCCCTGTCGGACCAGAGCTGCGGCATGCTGCCCGGGGGCCGGCGCTGCGGCCGGGCCCACCGCAGCCCGAGGGCGCGCCCGCTGCGCAAAAGCAGCGCCCCTCGGAGGCGGGCGCGCCTGCCGAGGCACGGAGGCGAGCGGCCGCGAGCGCACACCGCCGCGTGCGGCCTCTCGCCGGGGCCGCGGAGGTCCGACGGCCGCGCGCCCCCATTTGGGGCTCCAAGCGAGGCGGGGTCTGCACGGGCGCCTACGGAGGACGCAGAAGCTGGCCGACCCGCCCCCCGCGGGCGCAGAAGAAGAGGAAGAAGAGAAGGAAGAAGAAGAAGAAGAAGAAGAAGAAGAAGAAGAAGAAGAAGAAGAAGAAGGAGAAGGGCAAGCGCCGCTCAAAAGGTGCACGGAGGCGGCGGCGCGCGGCAAGGCACGCTCCGGGGAGCGAGAGCCCCGGGGGGGAGAAGAGAGGCCCCTTCGGAGAGAGCCGAGCGGCTCGATGGCCCGCGCGACGCACGAGCGACGCCGCCAGGATCGCGAGGCCAAGCGGAGCCGATGCGGCAGGACGCCGCCTGGCTGCGAGGGCAAACCCCGGCGCGCGAGCCGGACTGCAGGCCGGGCGAGGCGGCAGGAGCAGGCCCAACCCGCAACGCCAGCACCGCCGCGAGCAGCAGGGGAAGGTCCCGCGCGGACGATGTTGGAGAAGCCAGAAGGCACGGATACGGTTACTGGTACTCCCCGGACCCCTCCTGGGGTGCGTTCTGGCTAGAATTTCGAGGCGAATCCAGCGGTGCCGACGAGGGCCCCCAAGGAGGCCCCAAAGAGGGGAAAACGAGGAACGGGTTAAGGTGTGGGTGCTCCTCCCTCCTTGCCCGACGCGCGGCGAGCGACCGCCAGGAACGGCGAGACGATGGAAGCCGTCTCAGCCGCAGCGCCGGCGACGCCGCGGGCGAAAAACAAGATTCTCGCCGACAGCACCGCGGCACGAGGCTGCGGCACACAGGCAGCCCGTCAGAGGAATCAGGGAAAGGCCCGGCGCACCTGCGCGAAACCAGGGCCGAGCGGGCGAGCCGCTTGCAGCGGCCTCAGCTAGAGGCCTCCTTGCTGGCGTCGGAGTAGATGGGGTCGGAGGGTCGCGCCGCATCGCCGATACATCGGCGATGCATTGGCGACGCACCGGCGATGCATCGTCGACGTCGCCGATGCATCGGCGACGTCGACGCGAAACGAATCGATCGGGCTGCACTTCGAGCCGCGTCGGCGATGCATCGGTGATGCGACGCGATCCTCCCACCCCATCTACTCCGACCTGGACGGTTTCCCCGGAGGCCGTAGGCGACCCGAGGGGGGGAGTAGGAGGAGGAGGAGGAGGAGGAGGAGGAGGAGGAGGAGGAGGAGGAGGAGCAGGAGGAGGAGGAGGAGGAGGAGGAGGGAGGAGGAGGAGGAGGAGGAGGAGGAGGAGGAGGAGGAGGAGGAGGAGGGAGGAGGGAGGAGGAGGAGCAGGAGGATGAGGAGGAGGAGCAGGAGGAGGAGGAGGAGGAGGAGGAGAGAAGAGAAGAGAGAGGAGGGAGGAGAGAGGAGGACGGGTCGCCTGAGCCCTTCGGAGAAGCCCTCCACTCCGACCCCATCCAGGAGGCCTAGAGATCGGCCCATACCGGCACCAGGCCGCGAGCGCCGCGAAAGAGCTCCACTGGGAGAGCGCGCGCGAGCGCCTCGAAGGGCGCCTCCACGGCGGCGCGGAGCCGCGAGGGCGGAGAACGGCGGCGCCAGGCAGGGGCACCGGCAGCAACCGGCGAAGGGCCTGAGCATCGCTTGTCCGACCCCCATCCCCAGCGAAGGGGCCCAGGAGCACACAGAGAGAGATGCACGCAAAGCCCAGGATTCCCAACAGCTTCCCATGCTTTCGTGATTTTCGTCTTCTCCCAAGATTCCCAATAGTTCTCAGGGGTTACAAACACATACACACCAAAATCCCATGATCCCCCACAGTTTCCCATAGTTTCGCGATTCTCGTCTTCGCCCCCATTTCCCATAGTTTCCCATACTTTCTTGGAGGTCGTGGGCATCATTTCACCGATCCCCATCCCCAGCGGCGTGGCCTGGGCCCCACTGGCCGCTTTGCCCCCCGAGAGGAGGATATAGGCCGTTCCCATCGGGCTTCGAAGGGTGTCTCCCCCACTGGGGTGGCAAGCTGGTGGGGGTCTCGAGGAGGATAAGAATGGGGACGGGGGTCGGTCAAACGATACTGAAAGGGGCCGGGCCGCCGCTCTGGAGGCGGAGCCACGGTCGGGCGCAGCGACGGGCGAAGCCGACGCGACACCGGCCAGGCGACTCCGGGGCGCCCGCAGGCAGGCTCGCAGGCCTAGGGGTTGACACCAACACCAATATCGGCGGTGTGCCTCCACCGAGGGAAGAAGATCCCGATCTCGGCGATGGTGGTAATCTTCTGGCTTCCAAGGTGACCGGAATATTACTACCAACACCGAAACCTAGGATGATCTTCCCCCTGCGGAGGCAAACCCCTTGTGTTGGTGTTGGTGCCCATTTCCAGGCCTCCAACAGGCCAGGGGGCGGCGCCGAGGCCGCACCTGGGAGCAGGTCGGAGCACGCGGCGAGGCAGCGAACGATCGCCAGCAGGTCCGCCGGCAGGCGGGGGAGCACCGCAACGGAGGCTGCCTCCTGGGCGCAGCGTCCCAAAGATCGCAGGCACGCCCACCCGCCACGGCACTGGAGCGAGAGCAGCGGCTCGTCGTGAAGACAGGCCCACGCGGCCAGCGCCAGCCCGGAGCCATCGCGGGTGGGGATGCCCGAAGAGCTGCACCACGCGCGCCATGGAGCGAGGTCCGCCAGAGCACCTCGGAAGATGCGCGAAGCAGAGCAGTCGGCCCGGGCACGGAGGTGAGTCATGAGGCGCAGGAGGTGGCCGCGCGGGTCGGGGATGCGAACATGCCCCCGCCGCGCGGCCACGCGCCGCATCTTCGGGGCTGAGGTGCGCAGGACGAGGTACCCACGCAGGCCCAATACGGCGGGCGTCACGACATCACAGGAGCGAAGGCCGCATGCGTCCTCGGGCCTGGGCACGCCGAAGAACGATACGATCATCAGCCCTGCTGGATCATACCAGCCCCACTGCGACGCCAACGCCAGTGGCCCCCAGGGAAGGGAAGGGCCAAGGCTGGCGCCTGCGCGACGTCGCGGGCAGGGGGCAGAGCGCAGTGGAGCCCGTGGGCAAGTGGCCTGCGGGGCGACACCACTCGAGAAAGCGGGAGAAGGCCTGGAGCCTCCGCTTGCGCTCTGGCGCGCCAAGGCCCTCTTCGTGGACGCGGCGCACGCCCGCCGGCCTGGGCCAGGGGGCGGACCTGGCGCGCCTCGCGGCAGGCGCGGCGTCGACCGCCTCCACGGCCCCGCCGACCTCGGTCAGGAGGGCCAAGATGGCGCGGAGGAGCCAGATGGGCTTCGCGAGCGAGA